TCACACGCAACCAAATGGAGTTACTAAACTACTTACAACATTCATCACCAATCTGCACTACATGTTCACATTTTAAAGCTTAAAGGCCTTGGACAATAATTAACAACTCTAATACAACATGCACAACATGCACTATACAACATCACCAATCTGCACTCTTCCACGACCTACACTCCACTAAAGTATTCACCAATCTGCACTAAAGGTTTACCTACCGTGCACCCAATCGAAATATTTTTCCATCCACAAATCCAATTTCAGGATAAGCACAATTTAACTTAATGAAATGCACTTTCTGAACACTTTACCCTGTTCAAACGGAAAGTCATGGACTTTCTCACAATTTTTTATCACTACTAATGTACTGCTCCCACATTGCACACACACATCAACTCCTCTACCGCTAATCGACCCTTCAACTCCACCAAAGAATCCTACATTCCCACAACTACACACTACACACATAATATGTCTCTCCATTACCCGATATTTCATTATATTCTATTCATCTTGTGTTCTTTTACAAAAAGTCGTAAAAAATTCTCACCCACACCAAACAATTATCAAAGCACAATACAGAGTACAATCTTTTTCATTTGTACTCTGTAAAATGAAGCTTGGATGCAACTTCCTCATGTCTCCCATATACACCTATAAATAGAGAGTGTATTGTTGTTCATTTGTATCAGTTTAGAAAGTGAGAAAAGTGTGTGAAGAGTGAAATACACTTAGAGTAGAAGTGTATTGGTGAGGATTGGTTTTTTGTAATAGTTGAGTGTGAGAGTTTGCTCCTCCTATTGTAATTCTGTTCTTGATATTGAATAGAAGAATTTTCCAATCCCAACAAGTGGTATCGGAGCGAGGTTGAATTTTCATACACTGTTCTCTCATTTTCAGATAAATTTCTACAGGTTAGAAAATCCTGATTTTTCAAGTTGCTCGGAATCACGATCTGATCACACCGTTAAATTCGTCTCATCGAGAGGAGAAATCTGGTATTTTTGGGGAACTTTTTTACCACCAGAAGAGTCTGTACGCGCCGCCCAAACGCTGCCTGAAAGCTGCCTGCGTCATCACGCAGTTCAGGGGAAGAAGACGAGACACGTCATCGCCACGTCACCGCCATGTCAGGCCACGTCAGCGACACGTGGTGCCGAGGCATCTGCCACGTCATCCACCTGAGTCATCCGCTGTGTGCCACGTCAGACGCCACGCGGCAACACATCATCGCCACGTCAGCGAGGGAGCAGAGCCACGTCATCCACCTGCTGGGTTGCAGGCTGGGCTGCTGCCTGAACCGGACCGGTTCGTACTTGTGGAGGCCGGTTCACCCATTTCCAGACCGGTTTTGGATGAGGTCAAACCGGTTCCTACCATTTTCGGCCATTCCGGATCCAACGGTGAGCTCCGTTTGTCCAAATTCGGCTCCGAAAATAAGGTACGAGATATTTTGAGCGTTTTATTATGGATAAATCATCATCGGACACCATGATTGCGCTCACTTCCACAAATTACAATATGTGGAAGCCTCGGATGGAGGATTTGCTAAATTTGAGGGATTTAGCCGATCCTCTCGAAAATAATGGCGTAAAGCCGGATAAAAAGACGGATGAAGAATGGACAAAAATGAATAGAAAAACTGTCGCACAAATTCGACAGTGGATAGATCATAGTGTGTTCCCCCATGTTGCGCAAGAACAAAGTGCTTACACACTATGGGAGAAGCTTGGTAGCATGTATCAAGTAAAAACCGCCCGAAATAAGACGTTACTAATGAGGAAATTAGTAAACCACAAGTTACGAGGAGGTATTTCGGTGTCAGAACACACCAGTCAATTCCAAGATCTTGTGAATCAATTGAGCACCACTAGATGGGTTCTCAAAGATGAAGAGCAGGCGATACTACTCTTGAGCTCTCTACCTGACAGCTGGGAGACTCTTGTTGTCACTCTTAGCAATTCTGCTCTCAATGGCAAGGTGACTATGCAGATGATCACAGACGCTCTTATGAACGAAGAAACCCGAAGAAAAGAAGCCGGGACTGAACAATCATATGCCTTCGTGTCAGAAACCAGCAGACAAGGGGGAGGCAGAAATGGAGGAAGAAGTCGAGGTCGAGGTAGAGGCCAAGGTCAAAACAGAGGAAATTCTCAAGTTCGCGGCAGATCACAAGAGAGAGGTATGTCCTTTGAAAACAGTACTTGGTTTGAAGGATATTGCAATTACTGTAGTAATTATGGGCACAGAAAAAGAGATTGTAGAAAGTTTCTACGAGAGCAGCCACCGACGAGTCAAAATACTAGCCAAGAAGATGGTGAGACCATGGTTAGTTTGTCATCAGACGTGTGTCTTGTTACACATGGTGAACAAGAATGTTTACACGTAGGTACTCATGATGTTGAGTGGGTGATTGATACAGCCGCATCATTTCACGCTACTCCACACCAGAACTTATTCACATCTTATAAGTCCGGAGACTTTGGACCTGTGAAGATGGGAAACACCAGTTTCTCGAAGATTGTTGGCATTGGTGATGTGCACATAACAACCAATGTCGGATGCGCACTTGTGTTGAAAGATGTTCGACACGTTCCGGATCTTAGATTGAATCTTATCTCCGGTACAGCTCTGGATCAGCAAGGATATCTTAACAGTTTCAAAGAAGGTACGTGGAAGTTATCTAAAGGTTCCTTGGTTGTTGCAAGAGGCCATATTTGTGGTACTCTTTATAAAACTCATGCAAAGTTGTGTCATCCGAGTCTCAATGCTGTTGAAGAAGAGATATCACCAACCTTGTGGCACCGGAGGCTAGGCCACTTGAGCGTGAAGGGATTGACAATCCTTGCAAAGAAGGAAAGCATTTCCATGGGCAAAGGTGTTGCCCTAAATCCATGTGAGCACTGTCTATTTGGGAAACAACACAGGGTTTCCTTTAGTTCTACCAGGAAGAACCATTCAGAGTTACTCAGTCTTGTACACTCTGATGTATGCGGACCCATTGAAAAGGAGTCACTTGGAGGAAGCAGGTATTTCGTGACATTCATTGATGATGCATCACGAAAGGTATGGGCTTACTGTTTGAAGAGTAAGGATCAAGTGTTTGATCGCTTCAAATTATTTCATGCGATGGTAGAAAGAGAAACAGGGAAGAAGTTGAAGTGTCTACGTTCAGACAATGGAGGAGAGTACACTTCCCGAGAGTTCTCAGCATATTGCGCTGCATACGGAATCCGACATGAGAAGACGGTTCCACGAACTCCGCAACACAATGGTGTAGCCGAAAGAATGAATCGGACCATTATGGAGAAAGTTCGTTGCATGCTGAGTATGGCTAAACTACCTAAGCCATTCTGGGGTGAAGCTGTACTGACAGCTTGTTATCTTATAAACAGGTCACCTTCTGTTCCTTTAAACTTTGAAGTGCCAGAAAAGAAATGGTCAAGAAGAGATGTTTCTTACTCTCACTTGAAAGTGTTCGGGTGCAAGGCATTTGCACATGTGTCTAAGGAGTTGAGACAGAAGCTTGATCTCAAGTCAAACCCCTGCATCTTAATCGGGTATGGAGATGAAGAATTCGGATACCGGTTGTGGGATCCCGAATTGAAGAAAGTTGTACGAAGCAGAGATGTTGTATTTCATGAAAACGAGTTTCATGAGTGTGCTCTAATAATCCGCCAACAACATGCTCTAGAAGACGAAGTGCCTGTATCATCAAACATTTCTCTCAGCGACGAGGAGATGCATGATTCTACTGAACAAGAGAGTGATGGTTCAGCAGGTGATGATGATACTCACGATGATGATATTCCTCAGCAGGGGGAGCCTTCATCTGAAGACGAAGCTGAAGGTACTCATGTTCGACGTTCTATGCGAGGCATAGTTCCATAGAGAAAGTATTCCACATCCGAATGGATACTTGTTGCTAGTGAGGCGGAGCCTGCGAGCATCGCAGGGAACGAGAGAAATAAAGAAAAAGGTGGAGGGGAAGATTTGTAGGTATCTTCCACCTTCATTCTTGGAAGTTGCCAAGAGACATATAACATCTTCTAGGAAGGAGGTATCAAACACATGAACATGGAGAAGATTTCTTGGAGATAGCTAGGAAACTCCCTAGGAATGAGAATGGAAGCTTGGATGCAACTTCCTCATGTCTCCCATATACACCTATAAATAGAGAGTGTATTGTTGTTCATTTGTATCAGTTTAGAAAGTGAGAAAAGTGTGTGAAGAGTGAAATACACTTAGAGTAGAAGTGTATTGGTGAGGATTGGTTTTTTGTAATAGTTGAGTGTGAGATTTTGTTCCTCCTATTGTAATTCTGTTCTTGATATTGAATAGAAGAATTTTCCAATCCCAACATCATTGTCGTTTTCATCCATGAAAAGATATCATACAAGCTTATACTCTTATTCATACACCAACTGCACATTCGCCGAGTAATTCAATGAGTGCAGAGTACCTACGTTATACACCATTGTTCGATTTTCCAGCCATCGCATTTTCTTCTTCAACCGACACCATGCTCTTCACTCTGTGCTTCCTTCTTCGTATTCCCGTTCTGCACTTTCGTCTTCGATAGTGATGAGGATACTGAAGAATAATGAAAGCACTTTCCTACTTTAGCCGCTGAGAATTAATTGGAGAGGGGAATGGCGTGGTTCTCGGTATAATCTCAATTACATGACTTCGGTTAAATTTTGATATGAAATCTGAATGACAATTGTACCCTCCATTATGCGTTTCCTAACCTGCGGTTGATTAATTAAGGAAAAAATCTGGTGAGATTTAGTGCACCATATTACCGAAGACGCTGCCATAGTGCCATGTGTGTCGTACGATTACTTGAAATATGTGATCACGATGTGAAATATGTGATCACAGAAAAAATCTGGTGAGATTTATGTGAAAATAGCTAAAGACAAGGGGAGCTATATCCAAATTCACATGGGCCCGCAAAACTCCAGCCTCTCTCAATTTATAACAATTTTTTTCAAATTTCGCAGGGCTATCTAATTTAAGGGAGGCGGAACCACTCTCTCTGCAACATAGGAGCTACATAAAAACTGAGGAACGAATTTCAATTTCTAAATTGATTTTTGATTTTCAAATTCATGCAGCATGCGCCGATACTCAACAGGCTTATTCTCCAGGAAAACAACCCAAGATGACCCTGATTCCGGCTTACTCAGACGCCTCTGACAGCTTTGATCACTCTGACGACTCATTTTTCTCAGGTGATCGTCGTCCTCCTATTTCAAATGAGGAAGATATTAGGAATTCCAAATTTAACAGTGCGATCTGCCGCAAAGCTGAGTTCATTACCTCGGAGAATTGTCTGCCTACAGACAACTTGAACACACAACTAAAAATTTACAAGAAGTCTCAGAAGAATAAAAGGCGCCATAGCACGAAGACTCGATCTCAGTCCAAAAAATTCCCTTGGGTCTAGTTTATTTTTATTTTTATCTTTTCTGTACTTTTGTTTTTCTTCTTCTTCTTCTTCTCGCATTGTACTATTTTTTTCTTTTTAATAAAATTCATTTAAAAATATATATATATTTACACACAAATACAAGAGGCATATGATATGTCAATTATTAAATCAAGCGACCACCCGATTCAGGTTCATCTGCAGTGGATACTGCTGCTCCTAGACCTATTTCAGTTCGTACTCGAGCAGTTAGACCTTCCAATTCTTCAACTCAAACAACTGGATTTGGAGTATTTATCGATCTCAACACTGGAATGCAAACACTCAATGTAATACTCTTTCAAATCCCTTACCAATGTATGTTTCTAATAATGTATGTTTATGAGCTATTAACCACATTTTATTCATTTATGCAGCCAGGTATGTCAAGTGAAATTGTCATATCACTAGGGTCAGCCCTATTGGAGCCAACAATATGTGATGATCCTGATGCGGAAACAAGGTTTCCAATCCCTAATGAAAAGGCTTTGAGGAAGAAAAAATCCAAACAACCAACTGGGGCGCCTTTCCAATCACCATTTCAGGCTCCAAGAATGCAATTTAGGGGAAGACCTTCACTAATTGGAAAGCATTTACAACAACACAGAGACAAGAAAGTTGCACAGTTGATGAATAGTCCTAAGATCTAGATTGAATAGTTTAGAGTTGAAGTACTATGTAATCTTATTTTGCATATGGGATCAAAACTCCTTTTGGCCATTGCTTTTGCTATGTTTTTTTGTTAGGGTCCCGTTGTTATGCCATCAACTTAGTATATTGAAGTTATTATATTCATTTTCTGCTACTTCCACCCTTTTCTCTTCAAAATACTGTATTTAATATTTCTCTATCTCTACATCTCTATAAGCATGAAATATGTCAGGGGTATAATGGGAATGTAAAAAATGTTGGTGTCTCTTTAGGCATTAACATCTTATGTCAAAACACATAAGATGTTTTGACATAGCATTATCTTCTATCAAGGAATTTAGGGGTGAACAAAAAAACCGAAAAACCGAAACCGACCGCCAAACCGACCGAAACCGACCGACCAAAACCGAAACCGACCAAAACCGAAACCGACCAAAACCGAACCGATAAAACCGAAACCGACCGAAATTGACTAATTCATCGGTTATTCGGCTTACGGTTCGTACTTTTGGCTTAAAAAACCGGTCAAATGAAAATAAACTGGCAAAAACGGCTAAAATTGACCAAAATTGTCTCAATTTTTGTGGTCCGATTCTCGGTATCATCTATTTTTAAAGCCGCTAAAACCGCCCGACTAAAACCGAAACCGATCAAAACCGACCGACTAAAAACTGAAACCGACTAAAACCGAACCGATAAAACCGAAACCGCCAAAACCTAACCGACGAACACCCCTAAAGGAATTAATATGGGGTTTTGACATTTTTACTAAAAAATATATTATGGACAAAAAAACATTTTTTTTACTTTCTACAAATGTGACTAAAAAGCATTTACTTTATTACATTACCCTTCTAATTGTGACGCAATGTTATTAGCTTCTAGCACCGCATAATGTTTGTGGAGCAATAGCAAAGCCGTAATAAGTAACAATGCATTCCATAACAATTAAGCCCCAACAATGAATGCTTCTTTGATTTTAATTTTATTTCAGTTTTTTAAAATACTTAAATACTTAAATTACACTAAAATTTGTGTCAAAATTAAAAATGGCTTTTGGCAAAGTGAAATATGTGTGATACTGTGATTAACTATCAGTGACTATCGACTAGGGACATGTTGCCTTAGTAACTACTCCCTCCGTCTCATTTATATTGTCACGTTTTACCTTTTCGGGAAGTCCTACTTAAATTGTCTCATACCATATTTGGCAAAGTTTGTGTGGTTCTAAATCATTCTTACTTTATTCTTACTTTATCAATTAATATCAACCATACAAACTCAATTTTCTTAATAATCGTGTCACCCTCTTCCGTCCCAATATAATAAATGGGACGGAGGTAGTAATTTATAGTGACCACCGTTTCAATGACTATCATATTGCTCCAGCTACTACTGCTCCAGTAACTCCCGTGTCAGTTATTATCGCTTCGGTTACCATTGTCCCAATTACTACCGTTACAGTAATCACCGTCCTAGTTACTACCGCTCTGATGGTAATTACTACCACCGGTCAGTGACCAATGGCATAGTGACGTATTAATAGTTACCAATGTTACAGTCACCAATCCTATAGTGACTAACTTTACAACTATATTCATAGAAATTACCCCAAATAGGACTAAAACTATGATAAAAACTCAAAATAGGACTTACTATATTTTCATTCCAAAATAGGACCATATTAGTCCTATTGGAAACATACCTATTTTTTCATTCCATTCTTATCCCTCCTTTAAATATGAGTAAAGATAGTTAAAAGTCATAATTAAATGTTTAATTCATAATAAATTCGAAAAAAATTTAAAAATTCGTAGAAAAATAATTAAAAAATTAATAAAATATTTATAAAAAAAATATTTTTTTTAAAAATTAATTTTTAAGAAATTAAAAAAAAGTAAAACTCCATAAAAACGATTAAAAAATATGGATGCCTTTCCCACCGCCTATACTATCTCCCTGCACCACCACTTCCGACCAGTGTAAAAAATGCCATTTTTTTTTTCTGAAAATGCCAAAAATATGGCATATTACTCTTTGAGAATGCCAATATTTTCATTATTTCTGCCATAAATATGGCATTCGTAATGAATTTGGCATTTTTTCCCCAGTGACCGGAGGTGGTGGTACTGCCTCCCTGCACCACCACCTCCGACCGGTGAAAAAAAATGCCATTTTTTCTAAAAACTGTCATTTTTTAAAATGCCAAAAATGACATATTTCTCTTTGAGAATGCCAACATTTTCATTGTTTTCTACCAAAATATGGCATTCACTAGAGGTGGTGGTGCTAAGGTGGCAGAGACGGCGAGAATTTTTTTGCATTTTTTTTTAATTTTTTTAATTTTTTAAAATTATTATTATTAAAATATTTTTATAAAATTTTTAGTATCTTTTACGAATTTTTATTATTTTTTATTATTTTATTATGAATTAAAACATTTCAATAGCTATAAGGGTATATTTGTCCAAGACACACATAATTAGTCCTATGAAAACATATTTTATTTTTTGATCCTATTTGTGCAAAGTGAGTGACTTTTAGTCCTGTTTTGATAGTTAATTCATTATTCATATACATCGACAGTTACATGTCTACAATGACAATTACATGTTACAGTGATAATTGCATATATAGTTACATGTCTAAAGTGACGGTTACATGTCTGTCCACCCATCCAACGATCAACGTATGCCCGTCCAGTGACTAACGCCCACCTATCCACTGACCTCTGTCGCGCCGCTAGTGACTAAACCCTCAGCCCAGTGACGAAACCGCTAGTCATTCACTCATTCTAATTATTTTGATAGAGAAAATAATTACAAGCACTACCTGAGAGAAGAAATAGAAAGAAACTAAAAATTTAATAACGGTTCTCTGAAGGTTAATAAATTCAAATTAGAGAGGTTAAGAAAAATTAGAGCTGGTTAACTCGATTTGCTATCGTGTTTGAGTAGCCTTCGTAATCTCTTCATTACATCTCATGGATTTGTTAGAAGAACCAAAGTATACTCCTTTTCCTTTAGTGGTGAACTAACCGCGGTTTGCATACCTAATCATGAGGAAAAAATTGTGTGATTAGTGCTCCATTAGAGGAAGAGTAGTTTACTGATTACTATGAAAATCATTTCTAGGTACAAATTAAATATCCTCTACATTAACAATAATATAGTCAACTACACATTTTTTTATCCTTAATTTCGGTCATTGACGGGATAAATTGTGAAATTAATTGATGGGAATAAAGTAATGATTCTTGTGAAATGTCAAACAAAATCATTACTTTCATTTCCGTCAATGAATTTCATAATTTATCCCGTGAATAGCCGAAATTACGGACAATGATTAGGAATTTTTTGAAAAGTTTAATAATCACTTGGAGTATTCAACAAAGTAATATTAAGAATTCGTAATTCAAAACATGGTAAGGAATTTTTTGCAAAGTTTTTTCCTTTTTCTACTAAACTACTATTAGAGCAACTTTTGCGGACAAAACAGAACAAGTTCATACAAATAATACAATGATTGTAATAAAATGTCACATAATACGTATAACGTACGGTGTCAGTGACGGGCCTAGAACTTTTCTCAAACGGAACATTACTGTATGGATGGAGACGGGTCGGGTCGGGTGTGAGACTAATCTATTCAATGTGTAGACAAATTTTTTAAACAAAAAAGTTATATAATGTCAGTTTTAAATAATTTACATCTATGTACAACAGGTCTAGTTTTCAACCTATTGATACAATTCTAAATAATAATATTCACCTTTTGAAAGAAAAACATAATACTTCATATGAATTAGAACTGAATCATCTCGGCACCATTTCCGGCTTTGGATTAGAATTTAAGGTGTTTTTGTGCTACAAATGGTCAGAATTTTGATTAACTAGCTAGGATAGTGTCTAACGTTACACGTCGTTCCATAGAATTACAGTGTCCAAAATTTCTTCATCAACTTGGGATTAACTTGTGAACACTAACATGGAACTCCCTGCCAAGCTAAACTACTTTAATTTCTTGATTCAATCATTTCATGTTTGTTACTACTACACCCTTTTCTAATATTGTGTAACTCTCTTATGGTATCATGTTGTTTTTGTCGGAATACACCCTTTATTTTACAAGAGGGTCTCAATATTTCAGTAACATAACCATGGACAAATATCCAAAGAAAGTATCCACAAACTTCTCTTTTTGTGCAATAGCCACAACTAATTGTAATTGGTAAAAGCACAATGAATATAGCTTGTGTATGGAATTTCATTTAAGATATTTTTAAATCTATTAAGCTCACCACACATATTAGAAGTCTCATCATAACTCTGTAGTCATTTAAATGTGTTATAACAATTTACATATGCTCATTGACATAATAATTATATATCTAATAGTCATAGTTTTATATCAGGAAGCGGGGGCGCTGATTTTATCAAAAGTACTAATACTAAATTTCGGGGTCGGAAGTGGGGGACCTTGCCCTCGGGCCCCCTAGGTCCTCCACGGTACGTGGGTGTGTTTTGTGTGTGTACATACAGGGGTATATTATACATATGTGGTATTCAATTACAAAGTAGTGTTCCCACGAAAAGTAAGGATAAATACTGGCCTGTAATCACATGAAAACGAATGAATTAAATGAATTTTTAATCAAAGTACACAGTGGCAAAATAATGTGCAAATGTTCATAATACAATATGGACCCTTAATGCATAAAGGTGGACTCATAAATGTTAAAAATGCTTTTAATTTTTTATAACTTATGTATATTTTGTTTTGTATTTTGTTACACTTTTGTGTTTTGAAGATTTACACTTTTTGTATATATGATACACATGTAATATGTATATTCATTTAAATGTTATTCCTAATTACTATAACAACATCATATTTAATTTGTTACTTAAAATTTGATCTCTTCCATAATCCATTTTTTTGGCCCACAACCAACATGAATTTTTATAGTTCACCTTGGAAGCATTTTTATACTCGTATATGAACAAAATTCTACTATGTATGTATGTATCTACTATGTACGTAGTATATACCATACTCCGTATATACACACATTGCGCCCTATAATTTCACCAAGAAAAACAATTAATAAGTTGCATATTCCTCCATAACAATGACGTTACAACAAACACACAAGACACAAGTGAAATAGTATATGTAGGATCAAGAACCAAAGCCCACAACTTTGAAACTAGACTGAAGACGACCTTATAAGAACCAAAAAGAAAGACGTACACTAAAATTTAGGACAAAAAAAAGATATCCAGGCATAATTATCATACACTACAGTACGAACGAAATACCTATGATGACTCGATCTGGTTGTGTAATAATCCCTCAAATTCCATATATAGCATGCATGAGGTGGTTATGGATCACATATGGATAGTTGTTCGGTTGTGTGTTTAAAGATGGATCGTCGATCAAGAGTCGTAATACCAAGAAACGGCCACAGGACTTTGAACCGTGGTCTTTCCATCGCTAGAGACCCACTTGATAACTCCGAAAACATTGGTATTTTTTGGTGGTGGTTTGTTGTTAGAGATGAACGTTACGTTGTACGATTTCTTATCCTTTTTCCCGTTGAAACTTAGGATCTCTGGCTCAACGGAGATGCTGACGAAGGAGGAGGTTGGTAAGCTAACAGAGACTTTGTAGGACTCGACAGTGTCTCTTACGTTGGTCAGTGTTCTGACGTGCGTGACTGCTGGCTGCTGGATGACGGCGGCTCCCTTATGTAAAGCAAAAGTAATGGCGAATGAAGGGTAGTTCAAATGAGTGAGGCTATAAATCTCCTTGGGATCACATGTGAGGGATTTGTCCCTAGTGAGAGTTTGGAGTTGCTTGGAGGTGTAGTTCAAGGGGCAGAGGAAATGGAGGTAGTCTCTTGAGTTCATGTCATAGACAAGTCCCGGGTTGAGTGCCAGCCCGGGACTGACCATGCCTGCACCGAAATCAAATGGAGTGGCTTGCTTTCTCGTGGCATCGTCAATCAGCGTGCCAGCGCCATCGGGGTATTGCATATAGGCCGTTGTCATGAGAGCGGACCGGATTGCTGCCGGGCTCCATTCCGGGTTGGCTGCTTTGAGCACTGCTGCGATGCCACTGACGTGAGGACAAGACATAGAGGTCCCCGAGTCGATGTTGAAATCGACAATGGGATCGTTTTCTACCTTGGTTTGACTTACCCCGCCGGTCCACGCGGCCAATATATTGACTCCTGGTGCAATCAAATCCGGCTTGAGAATCTCCGGGGTTATAGGATTCGGGCCTCTCGAGCTGAACGATGCGACAACGGGCGATGGTTTCATCCCTACCCTCGTCCCATAGAAGGTCATTGTAGCTGTTGCGGCTTTGGCCGTGTTATTACCATTATTATTACCACTACCCGACGATGATAGCAGGTACTTCTCTATCTCTTTGCCGGTTTCATAATCTACCGCTATTGCTGGCAGTACATGGACATCTGCCACCGGAAACACATCCGTTATCCCGTCTGCCAACACCATTCCTTTTCCACCTACTGCTTTGATCACCTTACCCTTGGCAACCCTGCCATTCTCTCCGCGATTGCAAAATACTATTTTGCCCTGCACCTTTTTTGGATCGAGAGTGCCTTCCAAACAGAAACCCGCGGCGGTGGAGTTGCCGCTGCTGCTGACGTTTCCAGCATGCACGAACGGGAGCATCTCTCCGGCGGGAAGAGTATGGTTGTTATTATAAAATGAAAGGCCCGGATATTTCATCCGGTTTCCGAGACGAAGCTCCACGGGAAAGTCTCGGTCCAAGGTTCCCGCACCAACGGTGGTAATCCACGGGGCCACGTTCGCTACACTCACTACTAGAAAATGAGATATTAGAGAGGACTTTGAGAGGAAAGATTGTTGGCATCTAATTTAGATAGGAAATTTGAAAGGAATTTGCTACGATAAAAGATGAAACAAATTAGTAAGGAATTTGACTCATTAGATAGGAAATCTGACTCCTTTCTATTATATTAGAAAATCAATAAAATTATTTATTGCATTAGAAAGGAAAAATATCCCTCTCTGACTTTTAGCAAGGAAAATATACACATACTTGACCCACTCTCTGCTATCCATCCGTTTTTCTACCTAAAACCTACTCCATTTAATTATACATTTACTCCATGTAACTCTCACCCATGAGTATTTGACTATAAAAAAAAGTTGGTATGTTTATTTCCTCCGATCCACATCTCACTTCCGGGTAGAATCAAAAGCTTATCTGCAAGTATTTGTTTGTGAGATGCACAATTATTGGAGTTCATGTTGGTCCTTCAATAAGGTCAGTTCAATTATTTTATTTACATCTTGTTTTTATACGGAGTAGTCCGTAACCGCTTCATGATTAATTTGAAAGGGGTCAGTTTATTTACCTTTTGTAAAATGTAATTTTTAGGGAGTACGATTTTATGTACTCCGTATTTATTTTGTCTTTTTTATACAATTTTATTTATTGTCCTCATATTAAGCAAATAATAATTGTAGTACACTAAAGATGTTTTCTTTTGGATTGAAATTTGTCGGTCTGATATGGTCTGATCTGATTAGGCCTGATAAATGTCTGGTCTCTGTGTATTTTTATCACTATGGAAGTCTGGTCTGGTCTGGTTTGATATGATTTGGTCTGATTTGGTCTGGTATGAGACTAAAAAAACATCCTAATAAAGCATATGTGTATATTAAAGTAGATAGTGCTATTTCATAGTAATTTTTGTCATTTTCAGTAGACGAAAATGTTATTGATTCATTTATATCAATTGTATTCACTATTATTCAAGATTAATTATTCTCTAATCTATTCTGTAATGAATTGTAACTATTACTGTATACTAATTTCCTTTGTATTATTAGAGTGGCTATTTATAATCAATGTCAACGTGTAATGCCTACGAGTATCATTTTTTAGGCATTGTGTTCATTAGTTGGTTTATATTGATAAAAAAAGTAGACAATAGTACAGTTCATGAAGTTAAATTTATAAAATACTTATTACGGTAATCAACATTTTGAAATTGTAGTTGTAATTATAATTAAAAAAAATCAATTAATGTTTTTTAATTCCAGGATTAAAATGGATTTGAGAAATGAACGTCTTTGGATGTATAATCGAGTCAAACCAGGAAGAAAAGGATTGACAGATGAATTTAAAGTTGGGGTAGAACAATTTGTGAATTTTGCTTGCGCACAAGCGGTATTTGTTGAGAATGGTGTAATTAGATGCCCGTGTACCAAATGTAGAAATCAAAGCTACAAGAATCCCAAAGATGTAAAAGTCGACCTTTATAAATGGGGCTTCGAATCAAACTATTGGCACTGGACATGTCATGGGGAAGAGATCCCACATTTCACTCAAAGTGTGAATGATGTGTCACATATCGGGGATGAAGGGAATGACATGTACGAAACAATGGTACATGATAGTTTTGGGATGAGCTCAACACCTAACCATCAAAATGGAGAGTCTGAAGGGCCACATGAAAGTGCCCAGAAGTTTTATGACTTACTTGATTCTGCACGACAACCATTATGGTCAGGATGCACTACAGATACCGAATTATCATTTACATTGAAGATGATGAGTATAAAAGCATCATATAACATTGCACAGAAGGCAATGGATGAGATGTTAGATGCATGTAGTCGAGCAATGCCACAACCAAATAAAGTACCGTCCAATTTTTATCAAGCAGAGAAATTGGTCTCGAAACTTGGTCTCGGTCATGTGAAAATCGATTGTTGTATTAACGGTTGCATGTTGTATTACAAAGAGGATATTGAAATGGGAATGTGCAAATTTTGTGGTGAGCCACGGTACAAAGAAAGTACAAAACATAATTCAAAAGTTCCTCGGAAAAGGATGCATTACTTGCCTCTAATTCCAAGACTTCAAAGGTTATATGCATCTCCGAGCTCTGCTAAGCATATGAGGTGGCATGCTGAAAATCACCGTGACGCCGGCATGATGTGTCATCCGTCAGACGGTGAAGCATGGAAACATTTTGATAAAATATATCCCGATTTTGCTTCAGAACCGCGTAATGTCAGGCTTGGCTTGTGTTCAGATGGCTTCTCTCCTTTTGGTATGTCCGCTAAGTCATATTCATGTTGGCCCATAATCGTCACTGTGTACAACCTTCCACCGTCAATGTGTATGACAACCCCGTATATGTTTTTGAGCTCTATAATTCCTGGTAAAAATAATCCAAAGGCTCAAATCGATGTATACTTACAGCCACTAATAGATGAATTGAAAACTTTGTGGGAAACAGGGGTTGTCACTTATGATGTGTCGTTAAAGCAAAACTTTGTGATGAAGGCATCTTTAATGTGGACAATAAGTGACTTTCCGGCTTATGGGATGCTATCAGGTTGGCAAACAGCAGGGAAACTATCATGTCCATATTGTATGGAATCCTCAAAAGCGTTTTGGTTAAAGAATGGAGGGAAACATTCTTGGTTTGATTGTCATCGCCAGTTCTTGTCTATGAATCATCCCTTAAGAAAAAACAAAGACGATTTTCTAAAAGGAAGGGTTGAAAAGTCATATCCTCCTTGTCTATTGAGTGGTGAAGAAGTGTTGGAGCGTGTGTCATACATTCCAAAGATCACCGAACATCCCAATTTAAAGATACCAGGGTATGGGACAACACATAATTGGACAAAAAGGAGTATCTTTTGGGACTTACCATATTGGAAAAATAATCTTATCCGACACAATCTAGATGTCATGCATATTGAAAAAAATGTGTTTGATAATGTGTTTTACACTGTCATGGACATCAAAGGGACCAAAAAGAACAAAGATGGTGTAAAATCGAGGATGGATTTAAGGGAACACTGCTTGCGACCAGAACTAGAACTTAGTGTGAACAATGGTGGAAAGGTTTTGAAGCCAAAGGCAAGTTTTACATGCAATGATGATCAACGGAGGGCGGTGTGTGAGTGGTTACATGAACTTAGAATGCCAGATGGATATGCGGGGAATTTATCTAGTTGTGTTGATTTGAAAGAATGTAAGTTGCACGGAACGAAAAGTCATGACTGTCATATATTCATGGAGTGCCTTTTACCAGTTGCATTTAAATTCTTACCACCCACTCAATGGAAAGTTTTGACAGAACTAAGTCAATTCTTTCGCGATCTATGCTCGGCTAACCTACATGTAGATAAGGTTAGACATCTCAAGGAAAGCATCCCGAAAATCATCTGTAAGTTAGAGAAGTTTTTGCCTCCAGGTTTTTTTAATTGCATGGAGCATTTGCCGCTTCATCTTCCTTACGAAGCATTGGTAGGTGGACCGGTTCAATACCGATGGATGTATCCATTTGAAAGGTTCCTCAACTACCTTAAAAGAAAGGTAAAGAACAAAGCTCGTGTTGAAGGATCAATATGTGAGGCATATCTAATCGAAGAGGCAACGAATTTTGCTTCATATTACTTCGAGTCTCATGTTGATAGTAGGAGAACCAGGATTGGCCGAAATTTGGATGACGGATGCAACAATGATTCTATTCAACCAACCCTGTCTGTGTTTAATCGACCAGGTCGTGCTTTGGGTGCGGCTAGAGCTCGATATTTAGATGGTAAAGAATATTTTGCGGCACATCAACACGTATTACTTAATTGTGAAGAGGTTAAACCGTATTTGACGTAAGTAACTATACTCATTTGTATACCCTATATAGTGTAATTCAAAGCCACCAACCAACATTTATGATGATGAATTTCAGGTTCTATGAAAATGGATTGCGCGGTTTAAATCCAGGCATCAACAATGAACAAATTGATCTAGCAATTGAAGAGAATTTTGCAAGTTGGTTTCGCGATTATGTAAGTGTTAAATATTCAAATAAATATCGTCATATAAAACTTATAAATTTCACTAATACCTACTGTTTCATAGGTACATAATCCCGATAATATGGTGCCTAATAAATTCCTTCATGATCTCGCAATGGGGCCACTTTTAGAGGTGCGAACTTGGAATTCCTATATCGTCAATGGCTATAAGTTCCAGGTTAAAGAACATTGTGAAGGGAGATCTAGTGTGAATTGCGGAGTTTCTATTAAAGGCACAAATTGTGGAAATGGTGAAGATAATTTTTATGGAGTGATAAAGGAGATTGTTGAAATCACATATCCGAATTTCCCACTAAAAAGGGTGGTGCTTTTTTATTGTGAGTGGTTTGATCCATCTCCTAACCGCGGTACTAGAGTTGATCCAACATATGGACTTGTTGAAGTGCAACGCAACCGGAGATATCATAAGTTTGACCCATTTATCTTTGCACACAACGCGACTCAGGTGTATTACGCGCCGTATCCTCGTGGCATAAGTAATAAAAGTAATTGGTGGGTTGTGTTTACAACTAGACCGAGAGGGACGTTCGACGATCAATACAAATTAAATTCGGCATATCAACAAGCCGAAAGTTCTTCACATAACATGATTGTTAATGCCTCAGAAGACGATGTTGTTGATCCTCTAGTTGATTATTCTCAAGTCTACGAGATTAACGCTGAAGATGTAGAAGAAGATGATGAAGACGAAGAAGGAGATGATGATGAAGAAGAAGAAGAAGAAACGGAAGAGGAAGCATCAGAAGAAGAGGAAGATGAAGAATAAAAATATTTAAATATTAAAAATAAATATATTATATCTATAGAATAATTATATTATAATTATAATTATAATTACAATTATAATTATAATTGTAATTGTAATTGTAATTGTAATTGTAATTGTATTTATAATTATAACTATAGTTATAATTATAATTACAATTTATAGTTATAATATTGTTATATTTATCGTTGTTACTATCCTCTATTTCTGATCTCAATAGTTTTATGTAATTTGAATTGTTATGATGTCATCTGATTATAAAGTTTTTTTATCATTCATTTGATTATAAAGTTGTTTAAATAAGTTTTATTTTAGTACCACATAATTTTTTGGAAAAACTCCCCCAAAATATATGAAAATAAGGTTGAAGTTATTTTTCTGGTTGTATTGGCTGAAGTTACTGCAGATGCCATTTTAGCTATTCTTACATATACTTTTTTCTGTATTTTTTTAATAAAATATATTTTAAGAATATTTTTTTCTTTAATCAGCATAATCAGCCAATGCTGCCACTTCAGCCAGAACTTCATAAATTTCAACATAATCAATCAAAACAATCGATTTTCGTGTTACCAAACAAGCTCTTAATCGTGGTGTTGTTATTTGACTTATTTCTTTTCAAAAATACCAAAATCCCAAATCTCCATCCCCTCCTAATATTTCACTCCGTACTAACTCCCTCTCCCTCGATAAAAATAATGAAAATCTTCCCTCCATTTTTTTTGGTTTCCCAATTATTTCCCTCCCTAAAACTTTTGCAGGCCCATTATTTTCCATCCGGAACACTAGGTTTCATTTCATTATCCATTCTTTGTTTGCACAGCTTCTGCCGTTGCAGCCTCACAAATTTCGGACTCAATCCAAAATTGGAAGGTATGGTTTCCTTCTCAAATTCTTCAACCATTTCAGTACCCTGTCTACATTTCTAATTCAGTGTGAGTTAGTTCATTGACTATATGATCTTTCCCTGCGTAGTGTTATTTTTTCGAGATTTACTGTGAGAGCCTGGACAATTTTCTGATGAAACAACTTTAATACTACTTTGACGGAAGAACCATTGCATAGACTACCTTGTATTGTGACAAAGTCTTGTTCTTCTTGTTACTGTAACTTCCCCTGCGGTACACTTATTCTTAAGTTTAATATGGACTATTAAACTATTTATGAAGGCTGAGTTTTGCACCTTGAATTTTGCTTTGGTGCTATGTATTGTCATTTTTAGATGAATTACGGAGTATTAAAATAATATACTTGTTGCTTCAATCTTACTCTCCTAGCACATAGAAGATTCCTAGTAATCTCATGAACTTTGTAACAATTAATGATAACATACCCACTCACAAGATGTATGAATGTTGGGTTTGTATCATATCAACACTCCTAAATCTAAAACTCTACAGGCTCTGCAGGTCTGATTTAGATTTTATTACTGCTTTAGCTTGAGCTTTGAAAGTTTTTATTATCTTTTATGTAATATTATATGGGTCTCAATTTGATTTTAGAACAGATGGTTAGAACTACTAATGGTGGACAAACTGGGAACAACTCAAGGCAAATAACTTTGCCACCACCTCTTAATACAGAACGCTTCTGGCTTCCACGTGATAGTAGACCATTCAACCCACCTCCACCAAATAATACAAGTTCTTCAAGCGGTTCTTTATCGAATCAACCAGAATCTCCAAATAGCACATCTACCTTGAGTGAGCCAAACCCATCTCCATGCTCACATGTTAAGAAGGAGATCGTTCCTGAAGGCAAAACTGGGTAACATAAATAAGTATTTTTAATAAATTTTACTTCATATAAGTTGGATTGTAATGTTGATATTTTCTATTTCTTGATGGCATTCTGGAATTTTTAATTGTCATATTTAATTCTACCTGAAATGGTAAACACATATGCCTATGAATTGTTTATTAATGCTGCAACAGATTCATTCCATGCTCAGCGAACAGATATGTTATGCCATGCCTTAAGAAAAAATTTGACGAGCCAATTCTCTCTTATACTGAAGCTTCGCCCGAATTAAAAAATATTTGGCTGAATTTATTTAAGGTATTATGTCATAGTTATAAACTTTCCTAATACATCAAGTAATTCAGCTACTCAATTTAAATTGTTTGAGAATAAAGCTTCAATGTTGTTGTTGTTCTTGTAAAATAACACTTGTAGGAAAGGTATACATGGAGGCCGGAACATAATTATCGCATCTGCAAAAACTTTAATAGTAAAGGTTCTGCCGGGTTATCACGTGCTTTGTCTGCTGTCCGAAAGTCAAAAAAACGGCCAAATTGGATAATTAAGTCACTATGGACTCAATTGCTTGTCAAATGGGGTGACATAAAGTACATACAAAAGTGTGAAACTAATCAGAAAAATAGAAATTCTGATGTTGGAATCACCTTGCACACAGGAGGATCTATTCCCCTTGCAGAACATTGTAGAAGATATGTAAGAATACCAATTATAAAAATTCAGTTTACTTATTTTTTATTAACATTAACTAACTTTTAAATGATTAGTCGAACTAAATTTGTATTTAGGAGGCAAAGCATGGTGTGTCTGCAGAACCAGATAAGATGTTCTTACAAACACACACGAAGAAAGAAGACGGTTCATTTGTGACCCCCAAAGCTCAGAAAGTCTATGTGAGTGTACTATAGCACTATACATATTTTATTAAATACACTATTATTAAATCTAGTATTGACCTATCATGATTATTTCAATAGCTTACAAATATGATGCAGATGTGTCCTATTGTTGTAATTTTCTAATAACCGTGTTATTGTTGTTTATTGTGATAACAACTAATGTAATTGTTTGGAATGGTTGTTCATTGTTGTTGGAGTACTAATCCATTTGGAGTGATATGGCAGGTATTAAATTTGTATCTACTATTTTTTTTACTTCTTTGTCCCTCGTATAATTTATTTAGTGATCAATTTACATTACATTGTTCCCAATGGCAGTTTGTAGTCCTATACAAATATGCTTTTAATATTATATTTCATGTCTAGGAATCGTTTGAGGAACTGAAGTCAAAAGACACAAATGCTAATTCTAAAGAGTTGTTGTTGGAGGCCGCTGGCGGACATACAAAGGGTGGAAGAGTATCAGGTTTTGGTTCAGCTAGCGATTTCTACTTCCCAAGCACATCTACTTCTGAAGTTCCTTCACAACCGTCATATGATGACACTGTATGGAAACACCGTTTGGCTGAAGTTGAAAGGTCCAACATTGAGCTTAGACAATCAAACAAAGAGCTGATGGAGTTTAAGGAATCTGCGTCAGTTACTATTGAAAAATTGCAACGCTCTATGAATATGCATCAACAATCACCACAAGGTACCTTTACGAATATGTTTCCATCCCAAAGTATGCATCACAGTTCCGTCATGGGTTTTCTTCCTCACCAGCAACCTAGCTACATTAATGTCCTTCCTCAACAAGCTCAATTTGGGCCCTTCATGAGTATGCTAATGCCACAAACTTCACAAGGCTTCAATATGAAGAATAATGGCCCTAATCAGGAAGACCATGCTTGCCAAGATGAGGAAGATGAACATGTTTAGTCTTTGTATTTCAAACCAAATATATGTTGTTTTTGTGATTCAGTATGTGCTTGTTATTGTGTTGAATATTGACTTCATGATTATATTTTGGATTTCCTTGAGTTAAAATATGCAATTGCTATTGTTTACTGCTTATTTAGGTTTAATTAAAAATTATGCATTTGAGAAGTGGTTGAACAGGGAACTGATTGGTTACATATACGGAGTATATATATCCATGTGTGCGTGTGTATTGATTTGATCTTTTAAAAGTTGACAGGAATAAAATTCCTTTCTAAATAATTGTTTTATAATACATTTTGTTATTAAAATTGAATAAAGTAAAATATATTGAAAGGAACTCTTTCCTCCCTGAATTAACGAAGTAAAAAAATTTGAAAGGAAATGTTTCCTCTCAAGTTATAATACAGTTGGTAGGGTAAGAATTCTGAAAGGAACCCATTTCCTCCGTAAAGGGTTTAGTACTCTGTGGTCCCTGGAGCATTAGAAAGGAATATAGGTAGGAAAATAATTTAGAGAGGGAGGTTTTACAGAGGAATGACATTCGTTTCCAAGTTCCTTGCTAACCAATTCAGAAAGGAATATTTGTAGTTTAGATAGAGTTTTATTTCCTTCCTAATAGCTCTCTTCCTAGTAGTGACTGAACATGGCAGGTCCGCTGTTCCCTGCAGAACATGACACCAGGATTCCATTCTCCATTGCTCTGAAGGCTCCGATGGAAACTAAGTCAGCGTAGAATGGTTTACCATCCCCGCCGAGAGACAACGAAAGGACGTTGACGTTGTCTGAAATCGCTGCATCCATCCCAGCCAATATGTCGGCACTTGAGCACACTCCCATCTGAGTCCAGCAGACTTTGTAGACAGCTAGTCTTGCGCACGGGGCCATCCCACGAGCCGAACCCGCGGCTAACCCGTTAAGGCTGGCGTCGCGGACGAGAGAGCCAGTTGCGGTGGATGATGTGTGGGACCCGTGCCCGTTAAAGTCTCGCGGGGATTGGGACTCTTTCGTCCAGTTAAAACGCGTCCCATTAGTAGCGTTTAGGTATTCAGCCTCAAATCCTTTGGAAAAGAACTTTGCGCCTATGAGCTTGTTGTTGCATAAAGACTGATTCTCGAAACCGCACGTTCCTCTCCATGAACTTGGTTTCGCCGAAGGGTATCCCTCGTCTCTGAAGCTCTTACTCTCCGGCCACACCCCGGTATCCAGCACTCCCACCACCACATCAGTTGACGCCTTTTCACACACCGTGGAGAAGGCGGGGCTGTTTTCTATGCCCAAAAACGACGGCGAACGGGTGGTATGCACATGTAAGATGGTGTCCGCCATCACCGCCAGAACTTCCGGCCGCTCTTCCAGGGCCTTGGCTTCCGTAGCTGTGATCCTGGCCGTGAAACCTTTTATATGTT